AAGATCGGATAGTAAATCTTTTTGGTTTTGTGGACCATGTGGTCTCTACTGCTACTATTCAACTACTCGACGTTGTGACATGAAAGGAGCCATAGCAAATATGAAAATGAATGAGCAAAATTGTGTTCTGATAAAACGTTATTTATAGAAACAATACATGGGCTGGATTTGGCCAAGGAGCCATAGTTTGCTGACCCCCATACTAGAGGATGAGACACATGGAATAGAGTTGAGTTGCCCCAGTAATCCTAGTTTAGATCATTTGGAATCACCCAAGTTCCAGCCAATTCCTAGATATGCGAGACAGTTAGACACACGTCCACGAGAATCACTTAGCCAACCTGTAGCTCACAGCAGACACATGTGCGAACCCAGCCAACACCAGCCCAACCCTGCAGAATCATTTGCCAAGCCCCTGAGTCACGGATGATTTGTTACATAGAAGTATTGTGGCAAAAGAATATTAATACCGTAGGTAAAGTCTTAATCTTGCCATTTTAGAATTAAAGATGGGGCTTAAGGAAGTTAAATATCTTGGTCATTGTCTCGGGCAGCCAGAAAGTGTCAGAGCCAAGATTCAAATTTAAGTGCTTTCAAATCTATTGTTCTATTCCACTATGTAAAACTGCTTCAATCCTTTACTTTTCTCTTTATTTTAGATGGGTTTATTTATATAGCAATATAGATATAGATACGTATAATGTAGGGTAAAAGATGAAGAATTTTAGGCAGCTCTGACTCTCCACTGATTCCCCTCTTAGCTTTAAGCTATGGAAAATCATGTCACCCAGCCTTAAAATTTAGATGATTTTCTTTAAGTTGCTAATGCAGATCTCTTTGTGGTGTAGCACAGTCTATATCATCCTGGTTCTTATTTTCCGAAACTCCAGTAAGAGGAAATAACTTAAAGGGCCTACTCTTGCATGCAGCTCCTATCTCTCCATTTTACCGCTCCTATTTCATGCAGGGCTGTCAGGGCTTTCTGAATTAAATGTGACTTAGGGCCTGCGCCTGCTGCCTGAGGAGGCTCATAGGTCCTATAGCGCATCCCCAATCTTGTACTTGAGCTGTCAAGTGTGAGAGATTGGTGCCAAATTCAACCCAACATAGCCCCTTCCCAGTAGTCTGCCTTTGACAACCCCTCCTTGTCAAATCCAACAGTTTACATAGGATATATAGTGAATAAAGTACTCTGAAAGATACGAATGTAGAGGTGCTGCTTCCATTGATAGCAGGAACACCTATCAGCTTCCCAAAGGGCTGACATTTCAGGCTGGCAGCGGGGAGATGACCATAGGATTCTTGTGCCGCTGTTTCTAAATGGATTGTAGAGACTTTCAAGGCAAATTGCCTCACTTCTCACCATCTGGCTCCAAAAATAGTCAGTGTGAAGCAACTATGCAACTCAAAAAAAAATTTTTTTTTGGTATTTATAAAGTAGAACCCTCAGGTGAATGGTTTCTAGAACTTACACAGGATTCCCTAGGCTTGAGCTATGAGTATTTTTAGTCCCATTCATGACATCACCTCTATCTTGAAACGGATATATCAGATTACCTTAGTCTTATGCCATTGAACATTTGACTCATCCAACTCTCTTTGGTGTGAACCCATGCTCTCCAAGCCACAAAAGCCTTTTTTTTTTTTTTTGCCACACAAGCCTTCCTATAGTGTGCAGAGCACTGAGTCATGGAGTAACTTTGGTACCTTTGGCAGTGCTTCCCCAGAGAAAATCGAGAGAGGATTTCTGATCACAATTTAACTTCCAAGGCAGCTTGACCACAGGGCCAGAATGGAGTGGTCCCTGGGATTCAAAACCACTAGACCATGGGACAGTTATAGGACTGAGTTTCAGTGAATTCCTTGCTATTATGGTTTACACTCAAGTCTCATTTATGAGTCTACCTCTCAGGGCCTAGTCACATCAATACCCTGAAAGAGTGTTTGAGTTTTCAAAGCAGACGGTCCCACCCATTTGGCACTGATTAGATAAGGTTTTCTCAGTCTTTTAAAACCACAGAGCCCTTTAATATATGTCAAATTCTGATGTCCCACCACCATCTTTCAACATGTCCAAGCCAAATAAGTACATCTTAGAGGCAGATGTCCCCACCTGCTAAGAAGATTCTACTCTACGTAGTACTACGTGAAATAACCATAGGGCTTATGTCCTAAATAATATTGATTCAGTATATTGTGTGTATGTGTAGATGCTAGCTGTAGAGATTTTGATAAAATCTGCCCCACCCTCCAGCCCCATTTGAGAGTCACTGCACCCTCGCACTAAAACTCCCATCACCACCCTAGATGATGCTTCTATAAGAATTACAGATAAATACCTTCTGATTTCTGCAGAAGAAACTTGACTTATGGTAGAGTTAGTTTAGGGTTGGTGAGAGACCAAGGCTTGAGTGAAGGGAGTGGTGAAATTTGAAGAAGTAACTTGTTACCTAATTATTAAGTGCATACATAATGGTTAGTACTGGTGATGGTGGTGGTACTAACTCCTGTGTGTATGTGTGTGTGTGTGTGGTGAGTGTGGAGTCTGAGAATGGGGTGTGTGAATGCAGATGTGCATTCACACATTCATATTTGTGTACATGAATGAGAATGTATATATGAAGACAAAGAAAACACAATCCTTGCGTTCAAAGAGTTCTAATTAAGTGGTAGAAACATGAACATATCCATCAGGTCCCTCCTAGGTAACAGTGTTAATACAAACTGTGCAATCTCTTCTCCACCTCTGTCCCATCACAAGTCAAAGCCACTTATAGCACAGACGTCCCTCCAGAGTCCAGTGTGTCATGTGGTCAGGTGGGGATTCCTTGGTACAGGAGACACTGGACCAGTAAATATTTTTTCCTTCATCCATCCTCCTCCATTACAACAGTTTCACTAATAAATTCCCCAACATCTACAGCTTCTCTTCTGAGTGAAAACACAGTTAGAAACCATTTTAAATTGTCTTTACAACTATTATTCAAACTTGGAAATTGAAGTAGGTGATCTCTAGACATTTTCATTTTTTCTTAAACATGTTCTGCACACATAGTTTTTATACCTCTAAGAACATATAATTTAAATGTCCTTTCTTTTTCCTGATAGTTGTTAAGTAATGGATATCAAATATTAGTAGCTGAGTGGGTAACCAATAACCACAGTACATTCTGCTACTACTCTGAGAAGCATTACCAGGGAAGTAGAAAATTTATGAGAACAATTACAGAAGTGACAATGGTTAAACAAGTATCTTACACAAAACTCAACTAACTGAATCTTTGTGCTCGATAGATTACTCAAATAATTTCCATATGGAGGACACTTTATTGTTTAGAATATCTTTTTTTCACATACATGGATCATTTGACCTTCAAAAAACATAACAGAAGTTTAAGGAAACTACAGATTGGACAGAGTAAATAGGTTACCCAAATCCAGAGGGTAGGGTGTCTGTGTGTGTGTGTGTGTGTGTGTGCGTGTTTATGCAGGCAGATCTAATCCTTAAATTTTGAACTTTTCACTTCTGAGCTCATGATCTTTTCCATTAATTATACCACAAAGCTTTCCTGATATGCAAAGCTGCTTTTAACATTAGGAAAAGAAGTGAAAAGAAACTTGTACAGAATTCTCCACAGTCAATTGTCCAATACGTTTATGGACTTAAGAGCTGCTCAAATTATGAAACTTAAAATATAAACACAGTGACTTTTCATTTGTGTGGTAAACCTAAATGAACCATTATGAGAGCCACTAAAAGCACTACTTAAGAAATATGTATTAAAATTAAGAGTAATCAAGAGAAAAACTAGTAATATAAATGGTGAGTATAAGAAAAATATCAATATTTTAAAAGTTCATCCTTTATTATAAAGGTTTAAGTACACATAATTCAAGACAAAAAATATAAATATGTATGGATGTATGTAGTGTTTATATGTTTGTAAACATATGCTTTATGAATTTTTATGTTTATATTTTTATATAGAAACAAAACTGAGCATTATTTGATGCTAAATCCATTGGGTGAAAGTTTGTAGGAGGACAGGATTTGCACAGTCTCAATTTATCACCCTAAATACGATTACAAAAAGATAGCTTTACAGTGAATAAATCTGGTCGATACTACCTTACTGAACTGATCACCACTAATGGGACAAACTGACATCAAATGTGTTGTAATCTGAAGAACACAACGTTAACAAAAATGTTTAATTTGAATGAGAAAATAATATACAAAACCAAATCAGATTAAGGATCATTCTATAAAACCACCAGCCTAAACTTCTCAAAAAATGCCAGCCATAAAAGATGAAAAAAAATGAAAGAACTCATCCATTTTATTGAAAACTAAATAGAAATGATAACAAAAGGCAGTGTGACCTCCTTGTTTGATTCCTGGATCAAAAATAAAGCAGTTATAAAAGACATTATTGGAAAAATTGGGGAATTTAAATATGATCTGTGTATGTTAATAAATATTGTATTAGAGTTAAATTTCTTTGGTGTGAGAATGGTATGGTTATTTGGAGACTGCTTTGTACACAGGAGATAAATGCTGAAGTATTTAGGAGTGAAGTATCTTAAATGCATGATATAGTATATGCAGCTTACTTTCAAATTGTTCAGAAAAAACACTGAGTGATAAGAGCTAAAGCAAATATGCGGAAATGTTAACAACTTGGTAAATCTAGGTGAAAGACATATAGAAGTTCATTGTACTACTTTTCTACTTTTCTGTAGGATTGAAAATTTTTTTTTTTTGCGGTACGTGGGCCTCTCACTGTTGTGGCCTCTCCCGTTGCGGAGCACAGGCTCCGGACGCGCAGGCTCAGCGGCCATGGCTCACGGGCCTAGCCACTCTGAGCCATGTGGGATCTTCCCGGACCAGGGCACGAACCCGTGTCCCCTGCATCGGCAGGCAGACTCTCAACCACTGCGCCACCAGGGAAGCCCTGAAACTTTTGAAAATATGTTGGGAAAAATAAAACCAAATGAAATCGTTCTTTAAATTCTTTATTTCATATGCCAGTTTCAGCAATACTGAAATACAAGTTTAACATACATGTACTTACTCTTTCTAAAGATTTAAAATATGAAATGTTGAATAATGTTACAAATTACAATCAAAATTTAAAACAAAGTACTTTAAGAATAAGACAAAAGAGCTAAAAATTATGTTAAATTTCTAGTGCAAATATTAAAAAAGAATAAAGGATATTGGTGACATTAATATTCAGACTAGGTTTTCCCTATCTTAATTTCTCTGCTCCCTTCCCACTTAAAATCTTAAAAAGTATTTGTTATAAATTGGAAGTACAGAATTGTTAGAAAATCACTGGATGACGAGTTGTATGATTCTCTTTACAGGTACAACCTACTTCTCAGCAATCTGTAAGCCATTGACAGTGTAACTCCATATCCAAGGAAAAAAGCCAAAGCGCGATTTGGCTGGGGAAGGGGTATCAAATATGCAATTGTGTGGTAGATTCGTGCTCCAACAAAGAGCCTGAAGTGCAGGATGGCAGTAGAGAGATCTGGACCACTCAAGGAATACAGAAGGCCAATACCAAGAAATGGCACAATATTTTCGAGGTCATTCAAGTGGGCTCTGTGGAAAAAGATGACTTGTAAAACACAAATTTCAAAATCAGCAGAAATATATTCATTTTTTCCTCTCTTCTGAAACTAACTAGAAGTGTTAATGGATCTTAAACATGCAAAGTAAGATTCATTTTATTTCTCTCAAATTCCCTTGCTTCCTTACCCACTTGACTCTTATTTAGAATGTCTCGTTATCTTGTTTCTTTTATTTGTAGTGTATCTCAACATACAACAGAGAAGGCTTTTTGCACTTTCAAGACTATCAAAACTGCATCTACATAATAAAACTCACTCCATTTTTATACATATAAAATATTTTTTCTTCTAAGGTCCATACAACAGCAATTCAAGATTCTTCTTATAAAAACTCTTCTTCCGAAAAGAACAAAATCGTTTTGGTTATGATCTTTCTTAAGACTCCTCCCTCACTTGTGCTAGTCTGCAAAATGGCTCCTGAGACCACCCTTGCCCATTCACCCAATCCACTAGGTTGCCAAGAATCAATTTACCAATTTAATATCAAGAAATTCATGCTCTCCACATCCATATAACAGAATACATAACTAGTCTTTCAAACATGGGAAAAAATTTAGCCAACCTATCCTCAAATTGCAAAAGGAATTAGTTAGTAGTGATGGAGCAAAGTGCAAAGTATACACAAAATTGATAGACAATAAAGAGAAAGACATATTTCCTTGATCGGGATTTCATACCACAGCTATAAGAAAACAGAAAGCATGGTTTAGACACAAGTTTTCCTCCAATTCATGGCACCTTGAATACTTGACATTTTTTTAACCTGCTTAATCTTCAAAAATCTGGTACTCCTGTTCAAGTCTCCAGAGTTAAAAACTGCTTAAGAATCTAGACTAGAAATTGAGATTTTGATAGAGCTTATCAGCTATCGATACATATTTCAAAATGAAAAATACTGGTTTTATGTTACTCTCTTTTCTTTTAGCAAAAAACATAACTATTACATATTGCCTGCTCAATGATCACCATTCTCCTCCCCTCCTTTCCTTTCTCCTGTTTCCTGTAGATCATCCTTTCTCATCACCTTTCTGACAAAGATGATGACAACATAAAGGTATGAAGAATGCGACAGTAACCTAGGTAAGTAACAGGCTTAAAAGGTTTAAATGAACAACTGCCTGTTCCTGAATAAAAGCCAAGACAGAAAGGCATGGGAGTTCTTATCCCTTCTCTTTCATGGAACAACCCAAGGGTTACTAGAGTGAGGTGGGCAAGAAAGGACAGGGATACTATTTTCTACTAAAGAAGAGCCCGCTTCACCAATTACACCAAGGGTATTTGTTTGGGTCCTTTGAACTCTCCTGCTGGACCACAGATATATCTTCACCTCCCATCTTGGCCATGTTACTTTTCTCCTTCACAACATTCTAAAAGGACAGACGTTTTAAAGTTGGGAAAGAACCTATAATGGTGAGACTCTGTGGAGATGTGTTTACTTCTAAGCCTGTGTTAAGCAACTGGCAAAGAGAAGAGAAGAAAGTCAAAGACAATAAGGGGTAAAGAGCTCCAGTGGAGGGAGAGGGAAGGAAGTTCAAAGGCAGGGCTTCCTTGGACCTTACTGGCCCCTCCATTTTTTTCTGGCTTCCCTCTCTCTCTTTATCTTATTCTCTTTTCAATTCTCTTTCCCTGTCCTTGGCCCTCAAAATGGTCTCAGAGATAGCATTCCTTATTGTCCTAGTAAGGTCTGTTTTCAATGGAGCCTCATACTCTGTGTTAATTTATGCTATTTTATATGCTCTTCTTTTTTAGACCCTGAGCCAGGCACGTGCTTACCCAACTCTCCCAGTCAGCTCCTACTGTAGTTCAGTATCACCCTTCCACCATAACCCTTTCTCTGCTCAAACAACAGAACTCATCCTAGAGGGGCAGCTTCCTTCGTTTTCACGTCATTCCTAGACAGCTACCAAAATCTAATACCTGGTGGACATCCATCTTTATGTGTGACCACCTTCTACCGGGGTCTATTTCCCCCCCTCCATCATCCTGTGTTCCTGTTTCCTTTCTCCTTCAGGCAGATGCTCCTTGGGGCAAGCTTGCTCTGGGCTGACCTTCCCATCAGCCCTGCTCTGTGCTTATGATGCACCAGTCACACCTTCCTAGTCAGATCAGAACCACTCGGATCTCAGCATCACCCTGACCTTGACCAGAGTTGCTAGACATCTTTGAGAATTATCAGGGGATGGCCAACTACAAAAGGAGCTTCACACCAGACTTGCTGACTCCCTTCTCTTACCCAAAGTTCTTCATGCTCAGCATACAGCAGCAGTATGTCCAAATTCCCACAAAGAAAACTTCCCAAATTGACGTGATCTCTCCTCTCCTTCTCCTAACATTCTCCAGCTTCTTCCTTTATGAAATATTCTTAAATACCCTAGGAACTAATACCCTGTACCTCACGACTTAACATCTAAAGGGAGACTGCTTTATATCATTCTCTAACTACATGAATGTTGGTCTTATTTTTAGAGGAAAAGTTATAAACCCCCTCAAGGGCAGGAACCCAGTCTTAAAGCTATTTTACAGCACTCCAATAAAAGAAGTGACCGTGAGACACACACGGTAATCTCTCAATAAATGCTTCCTTCATGCATTGGGGCCAGAAGGGAAGTCATCTGGCTCAAATCCTAGCCCATGTTCCAGTTCCTTGAAGAATCCCCAGCGAGTATCACCTGGACTCCACTGAACAGTTTCAGTGAAGGGGTATTCTCTACCTTTGAACATAGCCTATTCTAAACATCTCTCCTCTTCCTAAGTACCAACCCCCTTTTCCTCTTTTGAATGCTACCCTGTATTTCTCCAGCTGCCCTGATTACCGTACAACTTTCTTTTTACCTTGTTGTAGGGAACACATTTGGTCTTGAATTCTTTCTAGAACGAGATGGGATAGGATTAAATAAATGCATAATGTAAAAGGTTTTCTAATCATCACTGATTTCTGTCTGCCCAGAATATAAATAACTAACTTTAGGCTACTTATCTTGACATTTCAACACATATTACTTTATATTTTTAATTAAGTGTTCCATATGTGTAGAATGTATTAATTTTCTCACTATTGCATACCTGAAAGCATAATTTTCACTTCCTTTGTAGCCAAGTTCTGTCCCTGTCACTGAAATATGCTAATAGAAATAACGTGATAATTACATGTGGAAGTAATGAAAAAGAAAAATTCTAGGTTAAAAATGCAAAGTGGAGATTCTGGAAACTCTTTCTCTGAAAAGTATCTCCAAAAGAGATTTGTTAGTAGGAAATTTTTTGATGGGACTGATCCGATCTCAAAAAAATACACCTGGAAACTGGATGCCTTGCCTTTCCTGGACACTCTCTTTCTTGCCGCACTGAAAAGCCAGTGTCTGATCGCCAGGAGGCGCTGGACACACAGTGGCTGCACCTCCTCAAGGACACTGACTCCTTTCACAGCTAAGGTCAATCATTCTCACTAAATTTTATTTGTTGTGCACAACCTGATGAGAAGATCAGCTTAGATAATGGCTTTCTCCTTTAGAAATACAATCCCATGGGCAAGGAGAGATAGAAGTAGGGGCTGGGAAGGGAGAGTGGGGAGGAATCTAAAAATCCCCCAATAAAATACCTGTTGATAAGTTTTCATAGGTGAGACTTACTTTGATCTTCCTTTCAAACTTACTAATGCTACTAAAGGTCTAATTGTTGTCACTTTCAAGTTCTGGGCAATTTTATGAGCATAGTGTCATGATTAGCATCATGTATTTGATTACCTTCCCTAATAGGGATGCACAAAAAGGATGAGACAAAGCTTTAAACTGCTTACTTTCTCTTTAGTGGTTTTGATAACTCCACAAAGCTTTATTCACCTTTTCTAATTTTTATTCTTTTTCATCATAACACATATAATTTTCCTCTGATACTGTTTGAAGCTTTCACATTGATTCTTTGAGAGATTCCTGAGACTATTTTAGATCCATATTCTTGACACAATCCATTTTAAAACTGGCCACTTTGGGGCTTCCCTGGTGGCGCAGTGGTTGAGAGTCCACCTGCCGATGCAGGGGACACGGGTTCGTGCCCCGGTCCGGGAAGATCCCATATGCTGCAGAGCGGCTGGGCCCGTGAGCCATGGCCGCTGAGCCTGCACATCCAGAGCCTGTGCTCCTTAACAGAGAGGCCACAGCAGTGAGAGGCCCGCGTACCGCAAAAAAAAAAAAAAAAAAAAAAAACCAAAAAAGAAACCTGGCCACTTTAATCAGTAGGACTGCTGAATTAACAAATATATAACTAAGTGAAGCAAAAGTTAAAATTTTATTCTAACTATCTAGCATAGACTTCCTCTTAGAAAAAGCCATTCTTGCTTGATAAATAATTTGAGATTAAACTTTTGCATAAATAAAAAAATTAAATTTCGGTACTGGAGGAGCAGAGAAGTACATGGGGTAAAAGAACAGCCTGCAAAATGGTGTAATGCTGACCATTTTGTGAGGTGACAAGGGCACAATGCAACTTTCCCAGGGAGAGGATGCTGAAGGACAGAGCACTGTAACATACAACTTGAAATGTTTGTGTTGCCATACTGTAAACTCTGCACCTTGATTTAGTCAGGTCTATTTTTATCACATTTTTAACTTGATTTGTTGACAGAGTTGAGGAAAGAACCAAGTTTACACCAGCCTAACAAAATGTAGAATACGGAAACATGCACAAATGCAGGATTGCAGACTGGGTTAATCTTGAGACTATATACCATAAGGGAATCTGCAGAGATCTTGGGAGGGGCTTCAGACTTTCCAGGAAGTCAAAAGTGATGATGCAAATATGATCTAGACTCCAAAGGGATTTGATGCTGCAGCAGATACATGAATTACAGAAGTAAATTTTTTTCTTTCAGTCCCCATTTCATTATCTATTTATACTCAACAAATTGAAGAAGTGTAGTCAAATATATTCATGATGTTTCACATCTTAACTATTCATCACAAAACTAAATATCTAAAT